CCGCCACATCGCAAGGTGCAAAAAACCATCACACAATAGCAGAGGAGCTAATACTCCGGCAGCATTGGACATGGTCACAATCATAGGTGAGAAAAGTGCTGAGACACTGAATACTGTCCCTCTGTCCAATGACACGATCGGGAGACGTATATCTGTGTGTGTGTGTGTGCTGTCTGCTGTGTTCAGACTGTTAAATAAAAAAGATTGTTTATATCTTACTACTTGTATTTTTGGATGAAAACAACCATATGAAGTAATATAGAAAACTGTATTATATTGAACTATAACAGTATCTTAATGCATTCCGTCAAGTCAAATATCCTATAATGGCTTTAATAGAAAAATGTATTTAAAGCATCGTGATGCATGAGGAATTGAATCGAAAGGCTGACACTATAATCGTAATCAAATTGGGAGATCAGTGACAATTCACACCTCTACTATCTAGTCACCCCATTTATGCAATTCCAGTACTGTTTAAGGACATTAGTATGCATGACATTTAAATAAAGAGACAGAAATAATTTATACTGCATGCAAGAAACTGCATAGGATTAGTATAAAGTTGGCGTGTCTGTTAAAAGGAGACTTTGAATGAATTTATACATTTTTATTCATTCATTGCTCAAAGTAATATTTGGATGTATTATCAGAAAACAAACCTGTTAAAGCAGGCAGCGTCAATTATTAATGTAACTCACTGGATGTCATTTCATCAGTGCAGCCTAAATTGTCCCATTTCCAGCAGGGGAAGGCAGTTGTCTTTTTGTTTTATTGACTTTTCTGTCTAAAGCTATTTAACATAATGTGATTTTTAAGGAGTTTCCTGCTAAGCCAAATAATTTCACACGGCTTGGGTCAGCAGTAATACAAACTGGGAAACTGAAAAGCTTTGGTCATTTATTTATTTAAAACTATTTAGAATTTCATCAGAAACAAAATTAAATCATGCTTTCCTGTTAGTTCCATCTCTGATTTGTCTTCACATGAGATCTGTCCTCCGTCATTGCCATTGATTCTGTGTAAAGAACTGATTAGATAATGAACCAGGCGAGTGCAGAACTTGCAGGCTGTTTTTTCAGTGGTCTGATGCGCTCTGCCCTAAATAAAAGTAAGGGTCCATTAATATGCAAAATGTGCTTTCTTTATGTGCACAGCCAGACTTCACTGCAGTTAAATCAGTTTCATTGTAGATTTAAATATTATAATAGGTGGCTTTTTTTAATTTAATTACAATATACTCATTTTATTTTTAACTTGGACTTGGATTGTGTGCAACTCTGAGAGGCACACAATAGTTGTTGTTCGGTTGGTTGCCTAATTCTGTTCTGGACAGGTGTCCTATTTATAAGGTTATAATGATGGAAACACGAGCGCTTAAAGTGTATTTATAGTGCTGAATCTTTGCAGATTGCGAACACTATCTTGTTGTTTATTGCTTCTTGAAAAACGTTCCTTGTGAATGCACCCCGACAGGGAAGCTCAGCCTCCAGAATGCAAATAGTAAACAAGCTCTTGTCACAGCAAAGCAGAAGTGACAGTCTTAACCGAGTGACAGCTTGGAATAAAATGGTCTACTAACCAATCGTGTGACATGTCACAGACTACTGATTGCAATCTGAATTTTAAATTAAATGTTCTTTTTCTCATCTCTCTTTCATCTTTTTGTTTCGCCCCTCTATCTCTGTCTTTATCTTTTTCTGTCTTGTCTTTCTCTTTCTTCAAACACATTTCTTTCTTTTTTCTCTGCCCTTCAAGACCAGGAGTTCTCAAAGACCTGAAGACTATGGGTTCTATCTCCCTCTTTATCTTCTTCATCACTCTGCTTGTGCTTGCCAGACAGGTAAGTCCACACTGTAATAGTCTGAGTGAGTGACATTATCATCTGTCTTGTGCTCATTGTCACCTACATAGCTCTGAAAGAAAATAGTTTTCAGGTTTTCTCTTAAATTAACATTGCACTTCACTTCAAGTTTTATTTTTTCACATTTCTCCCATTTTATCTCAGTTTTGAATGCCTGTTTTCCCCCTACTATGGTCTTTGTTGCTGCTAAATTAGACTGTTTGCTTGTGAAAGGTGTCAACTTAGTCTTAGCTACTAACATCAACTGCATGTATTTAAAGTAACAGTCATCAACCCAGCATATGACTCTTTACATTTTGATTACACAGATATTTACATTTTGATTCTTAACTAATGGTAACTTACAGTACATGTAGACAGTATAGTACGTATAGTGTGTGACTGTTTGCACATGATAGAATTGGTTTAGAGTAGGTAGGATGCCGCTGTAGGATGAAGTCGCAGCAGTCAGACAGTGAGAGGAGACATGGGCAGAGTAATATTTCTGTTTTATATCAGAGCTTATCATTAAATGGGATGCAGCTGATCTCCTGGGCCCTGCTGTGCTCTGGAATAGCAGGATGGCTGCAACACACTTTTTCCCCCTGTGGAGACTGAACTCACAAAAAGCATAGACTACATGAGTGAATATGCAGGTGTGAGCAAAAGTACCACCTTTAACTACATGCATGCCTGTACCACACTAGCCACAGATAAATTAAAAACACATTTCACGAGTGGTGATTGCAGGGACTCTTGTTTGGCATCACAGTACAATGAACATATGTGCTCTATGTGTTATTTAGTGTATTTAAATAGATATAAAAGGATTATTTTCCACTGTTGACACACTATAAATTCCCATTGGGAAGTTTTGTTTCTGTGAATGTGTGAGGCCTACTGTCTCACAAAAATGTGGAAAATGTGATATCCTTCCTGCGTATTACAAGTGCTGGTGAAATTTCGAGCAAATCTAGTTCTAAATATTAAGCAGATTCCGTTTGAGTGAATAATAAACGTGTTTGCAGAAGACAAATTACTGATGTCCCCAGCTTAATGAAAAGACACCAGGTGCGACCATCTGTACAGCAAGAATAACAGATGCCATTTATTAATATCTGCTCAGTCTCTTACGCACTGCTCTGATATGTATTCATATACACTTTGTTTTTGTACCACCCCCGTCTTTTTCTCCATAACAAGTAATTATATTTCTAATATCAAATCATATCACTTTCTTTGCTTGATCGTTTTTCATCAGATCATCTTACAAACATGTTTCTCCTTGGTTGATGCAGCCTCTTTATCAAATTAGTTCATTGTGTACTGCTCAGGCACAGGCTTACATAGTCATCGTCATAGAGCACCTGAGATATTCACACAAATTAAATGTCACATTACAAATTGTACCCACAATGTTCTCACTAAAGAAAGTCATTCCTCATCTGTTCTCAACTATTCTTCTCTGTTGTTAATGTAGTTCTGGTAAAGTAATCATGTTTTGATTTAACCAAAGCTGCATAAATCACTGTATTTCTTTCTTGCTTAGATGGAAGTTATGAGGGCCAATGTGACTGAAAATTGTGTTATGTTTTTTTCAATGTTATATTTTCTTTTCTGTCTTTAAACCTCGGTGAAATTCACACTTATAGTTGTTTCTGTTTTTTTCTCTGTAACTTGATGGAAGCAAGCTTAACAGCTGTACCTTCAGTCTCTTCACCTCTGTGTCCTCTTGTAACAGAATGAATATTACTGTAGGTTAGACTTTCTGTGGAAGAACAAGTTCAAGAAGGAGTGTGAGGAGATTGAAACGATGGAGAACCTCAACCGGGTTTTGTTGGAGAATGTCCTGCCTGCACACGTTGCAGAACATTTCCTGGCACGCAATTGGAAGAATGAGGTAGGCATTTATTATGTTTTCTTTTTTATTAGCCTTTAGATTTTTGTTTTGACAAACAGCTGCAGGACAGATGAATTTTAGTTTCGTAGAGATCTTCTGGTACCAGTGGTTATATGCAAAGATCCATTATATTCATTCATTAGCTCTGATCAGGCATTGGCAAAAGCAGCTTACCTCACAAATAATCTATATTTCAAGTCAATACATTTGATCTAGATTTTTAATCTACTTAAAAACCAGGGGCCTCATTTATAAAAATGTTCTTGGATTTACACTTGAACTTCTTAATATCTGAAGATAATTTCTTACATTGCGCTTATGTTCAATTAAAAAAAGGATACGCTTAAGCAGGTTTTAAGAAGCCCATTTCTGACATTGGATCAAATAAATGTATATATTGCTTGCACAAATTAGGGTTTAGTCAGGAATAGCCATGGACCAAAACAGACATATGATAAACGGTGAGTTAACAGTGTTATGAGTCTCTGTTTAATTTGGCGCGTATCTGATCAACCGACCATCACTTATGTTCGTAAGAAATCTTTATTTTTGTAGCTGTTCGTCTCTGATTCCCATGGTCTTCTCCCACTAAGCGCAGCTAACAAATGGAGGCTGAGTGAGTTGAGGTAATAAAATGTTGGTACAGTAATACAATATTCATGGATTACATTGCTGGTAAACTGAGAAGAATACTGTCAACATATGATGCACTTTATCTTGTGTTTCTACGGCTATATAAGGAATTGTAATTATGGTATGTTTCTTAAAGGGAGTTTATAAATATTTTCCCCGGAGAGTCCATGGAACTGCTATGTTCCTACAGACATACTAAAGTATGAAAAGGTTGTTGACGTTGACTGCTGTTAGTTGTTGGTTTAATAATGTCTGATGCTGGCTGATCAGGCTTATTATCTTCTAATTGTTGTTGTAGAATTGTTTCTAATGGCAGTAGGCAGTAAGTGCTTGCCCTTTATCTGTGTTTATCTGTCACTCTGAAAGTAAAGAACTCAATGAACAACTAATGTTTTAAATATAATAGTGCAATAAACAGCTTTATAGAGAAAGAGCAGCTTTATTGGTCATGATTGAAGGCTTTGTATTGCGGGAAATGGCACTTTCGGGTGTTAATGAAATAAAAATTTGCCATTAATTAATGTTTTGGGCTATAACTAGGCACACATGATTCTTATTACACTGTTCATAAAGTTGATCTAAGGTTCACCACAGGCTGCAGTACCCCTACATAACCAGCAGGAAAATCACTTAAGTCATGTCTAGACTTTGCTTAGCGAGAGCTTAGGTTAGGTTTTATAAATCGCTACTCATACATATGTAAGTCATATTTAAAATTACAATTGATCTCAAGCCCATTTTATGAATGAGGCCCCAGAATGGGTATTGATATTTTAAGTCTTACATTAGGTATGTCAGTAAGGTCTTAGATTTAGGAACTGAGATGTAGAATCCGAGTGTTAATGTAGAAAATTCTCCAAAACCAGAATGCACAATATATTATTAAAGTTGTTAAAAATGCATTAAAAGTGCTTTGTAGTTAATGGAAAGTACAGTAAATTAAGCCAGTGGCTGTTTGACACATTAAGTGATAAAAAAGCAGTTATAATTTGCTTAAAATCATAACTTTTTTTAATGGAACCGGCACTTGAAATGTAGTATTACGATGATTTATTACTTATAATGTTGACAAAACCTTGGGAGAGACAGTGTAGGTGAATTTGTTGACTTGCCTGTGAGACTTTCTCATTCATCATTCTGAATCCTGTTATATCCCCTGAGTGTTTCTCACATTGTGAACTGTGAAAAGTAAAGTTGTACAAACCAGGAAGTTTAGAGGTTGTGGTATCCGAGAGGTTATGGGACTTTAAATATGAGTGCTGCTTCTGCTGCAGAAATTCTGAATGAAGAGTCAGCAAATGATTTTATTCCTGCACTTGAACAGAATCCAGGAGGAAGCTGCTGATCTAATGGATTTTAGAGTCACTGTTATTTTAGATGGTGGTTTGGGTGATTTGCCTACTTTGATCTGTGTGTCTGGTTTATCACTTTTTGTCTGCCTTTGTGGTTCCCCTGATGTTTTTATTAAAGAATACTGTCAAGTATTTTTAAGCTTAAATATACACAGGATCGGAATCTAGTCATCTGTGTTTCATCCTGTGGTTTATCAGTTTTATCACATTGTTCTGCAGCTGTCCAAACTAACGTCTGTATTTTGTCTCCCTGCTTTCTTCTTGAAGGATCTGTACCACCAATCCTATGACCTGGTGTGTGTCATGTTCGCCTCCATCCCAGACTTTAAAGAGTTTTACACTGAATCTGACGTCAACAAAGAAGGATTAGAGTGCCTCAGGCTCCTCAACGAAATCATTGCTGATTTTGATGAGGTAAATAACCCTCAGTCTTGCAACCTTCAAAAAACCCTACACCACAAATGCTAGAAACAAACTGGGATTTCCTTTCTTGTAGTTTGTGATTGGACACTGAGGACTATGTGTCAAGCTACCACATCTTTATTAATGGTATCTGGGTATTCTGAAAGGCTTTCACTGGCAGGCAGAAGGGAGAAAAAATATAAAACAGTAATGCTTAGTTAGAAATTCATACTCTGCATATGGATGTGCATGCATCCTCTAAAAAATGACGGCATGAGCTATCACCTCTGCCATAAATTATGCCTCATTTGTTTCAGCTGTTATGCAGATTGTGTTTGTGTCTGTAGCTGCTGTCCAAACCTAAATTCAGTGGTGTGGAAAAGATCAAGACCATTGGCAGCACTTACATGGCTGCTACCGGGTTGAACGCATCACCTGGGCCTGAGTACCCATCACAGGTAGGCTCAATGCACACACGTTAACACCTCTGTCATCACAATATCACTTCTCACAACTTTGCCCGACTGCAGCAAAACCACATTTAACTAATATGAATGTCTTACTGGTTGTGTTCCTTACTGTTTCCCAGGAGCATGACAGGCAGTACATGCACATAGGGACCATGGTAGAATTTGCATTCGCCTTGGTGGGAAAGCTGGACGTTATCAACAAACACTCCTTCAATGACTTCAAACTCAGAGTTGGTGAGTTACAAATGACACCATGACACACACCCAGTGAGAGTTGCAACTGTTGCAGACTTGTTCTTCTATTGGCAAAAGTCATATGTTATTATTCTGACTTGCACAACAGAAGTGTTGGTATATAGAACAGGGTTATAAGACGTGGCTTGAATGTAGACTAACTGTATGTTCCATTGTCCATGTACTGACATGGACAAGTAGCGTTTATGCTTTTAAAGACTTCTAATATATTCTTATATATTTGTTTTCATTATTATTCATTTTGTCATGATGTGTACATGTCTAAAAACAAGAAAAAAAGCTGATGTTTGCAGCAAGACAGGTATATTCATGGCAACAGCAGAGAGAGAGAGGAAAGCAGGCAGGCAGGTCCCAGCTTCCCTGTGTGCGGTCAGTGTCAGAGTTCAATACCTTCAACCTGTCTGTGAAGATCGCAGCATGGGATGCTCCATTAACTCAGCAGTGTGCGTGTGTGACTGTCCATCCCTGCTGCTTCCAGACGGGCCTAAAACGCTCCATCAGAGAGGGATACAAGTAATCACCCATTGGGACTGGACAAAACCAGTGGCCGTGTGCCTGTGCATGCTTGCCTGCACACTTGTGTAGATTGCAGTTTCCAGATTGCTGGAAATTGACTCAGAAGCCAGAGTGAAGAGGCCTGGTATCATCTCAGTGATGTGAAAAGCTCCAGAGCCTGCTTAGCAGAGGTGTTGGGAATGTTGGGGATAAAGAGTTCAGCTGCATTTAGCTTCCACTTCATTTCATGTTCTGATGAAATCTCGTGAAAAGCTTTGTTTATTCTGAAAGCAGCAGGTCTCTTTGGAGCTGCACTCTGGCTGTACTAAATAATGAATCAGTAATATCAAAAATTGATTTGAATACATTTCCAACAACACTGTACAAGTGTGACATCAGAAATAGAAACAACCATTTTAAAATGTGGTTTCAGTTTCCTGATTCAGTCATCTTTACCTTACCTTATTTAAGAGAGATACATCTTTTCTGAATAAAACTATTAACAATGTAATTCAATATGCCATTCACTGTAATTGCATCTGAAATGTTCACTGATTACTTTGTGTCCTTTCTCAGGTATTAACCATGGCCCAGTGATAGCTGGAGTTATTGGAGCCCAGAAACCACAATATGATATCTGGGGGAACACAGTGAATGTAGCCAGCAGGATGGACAGCACTGGAGTCCTAGGGAAAATACAGGTAATACATACAGGTAATACAGGGATACACCGTGTGATATTTGTGTATTCTTTTGGGTTTTCAAAGCCTGACATTGAAGTTTTTAACAACTTTTGAAAAACAATATTAGCCACACTGTTCCACATGTTCATTACCATTGGGTACCATATTCTTTTCTTCACTCAATCCCACATAAATGTACACTGTCCTGCTGCTGTATATACTTGCTAATTGTTCCCAACAAATGCTTGTTGGAGTAATTTCCTAAAACAGACTTATTTAAAAACTTATCCATAAAAACTACATATTTGTGATCTTTTTTTAAAGATGGACATCTTCAGAGGGAATGGGCTGAGAGCCAGACGGGGTAGAGGACACATTGTTACTTTGAAATTTTCTGTGGGAAAATATAGAATAACTCAACTATTTTCTCTGATGTATTCAAAAACAAACCAGTTTGAAAAGTCTCTCATTCTCTGCATCTGTCAAACATCACATTGTGTTTGAAGTTGGCGGTTTCTTTCAAAGCAACACTGCTCCATTTTCATATGCAGAGATTTTAAATGTCACTACAGATGTTTTAAAAAAAAAAAATCAAACTCTTCTCTCTGCTCCTGCTGACAGCAAGGACATCACATCACCTTAACATCTTCAGACCTTACATTTGCACCCTGCCTGAGCACTGATAAGATATGTTTTTTTACCTGCATGGCAAGTGCCTGTGGGAATCATTTAGTCTTCAGAGGGCTGTATCACACTTCACAGCCTGTACACATTTGATAGAGCCATCTGCTTTCAATTGCATTCCAAGATTGCCTGTTTATATTTTAAGATATGCAGAGTTATTCCAACGTAGCACAGACATTTCCTCATTCTAAAATCCACAGAGGAATTTTATGCACAGGCTGTGATGATTTCCCGTTATCTCTTACAATTCTAAATGGTAGAATTAGAAAATATAGTGGAGGCACATGTATTTTTGCAGTTGTGTGTGAAATGAATCTAAAGGTTAGTCCAACTTAAATCCTGATTTTATTTTTGCTAAAATACAATAGAGGTCTGGTGATGCAGAGCAGCATGCCAACAATACATGTTTGTTTGTTAGTTAATTAATGGTCAGCAGACTTCTCCTCAGCTCCTGGAAATGTATTCCTTTGGATAGCTGAATATTTTTGCCTGCAGGAATTAATCCAGTTATCTAAAATAAGCAAAAAAGACATTACCCATCTGGTTCTCCCTGTAGGTGACGGAGGAGACGAGTCGCATCCTTCTGACCCTGGGCTACATGTGCTCTTGTAGAGGCATCATCAACGTCAAGGGCAAAGGAGAGCTCAAGACCTATTTTGTGCACACAGAGATGACCCGCTCACTGTCCCAAGGGAATGTAATGCCGTAAGACTGGTTCAGAATATGCTGAATTTACACCGGCTCAAAGAACAGAGTTCATTTCAGATGGAGATTTGATCTTCTCAACGCTGTTGTAACAGAATCAAAGTGTGAAGCACGGAGGAATCGGATATGATTTTAATGTTGCATTGCAGTTACCTATGCCACAGCTGTAGTATACATTTTGTCACTTATGTAAGTGTAGCATGTACAGCAAGTAGGCAATAACCCCTGAAATATATTGTAATTTGAATGTTGGATCCAGCAAAGCCACAGAGACACGTTTAGTCAGAGAGAAGAATCTGAAATGGTCTATTTTAGTATTCTGACGCTTGTGGCAGCACTATGCCATCAAAGCCTCTTTTACAGCCATGTCCATCAAAAAGATCAAAACTCTATTCTTTTCACTTTACAGGATACAGTGCATTTTGGATGTTAAAAGATGTACAGTAAGAAGTAGAGAAACATCGAGGGCTCTTGAAGAGCACCTGTAAGACAAGAATTTATACAAAAAAAGACATGCTGCTTTTATGGAAATAAGGAATCTTGCAGGCCCCCAACTGAACCAAACATCTACAAAGTACAAAAGGCCATAGATGGAAGATCTGATATTAAAATGAAAGCCAAGGACAAATGTTACAAGAGAAAACTGCATGACCACTGTTGCAAAAGGAGAAGCTGGTCCTTTTTAAAAACACAGCCAGCCAACAAGGAGACACACATATGTGTACATATACTGTACTCCATCAACCTTGTTAGAAGCACGAAGTCTTGGATGTATTTTACAGGCAGTCCATACAAGGAAAGCATAAAAAAAAAGAATATGAATATATTGTGATATTCATCCAGGGCCAGGTTTCCCACAATTATCTTTACACTAATCATCTTGTCTTCATTGACTGCTGAAAATGGAAATCAGGAGTTTTAAATTGTTTGAGTAAAATTCCATGAAAGCAAAAGGATAAAGTTGATTTTAGCGTGAAGATTTTAATTTGGGAAACTGGGGCCTGATCTGTGTACAGGGTAGCTTTAGAGTGCGTATGATGCGGTGGTTTTGTAACAAAAGAAAATACTACCAAAAAAGTGTTTTGATGTTTTGATGCCATTGTTTTTTTGTAAAAACTTCATTAAAATTTCTATGTATTTCAGTTCTGAGTGTTATTATTCTTTAAAAAAACCAGCACACGGTTGCCAACCTGGTAGGCTGCATCCCAACCCAGCGGACCGGGTTTGATTCTAACCTGTGGCGCATTGCTGCATGTTGTCCACCCAAAGTTGAATCATTCAGTGAAGCAGTACAGTTTGAGTCCTCTCTGCTTTACACTGTGGTTTCCATATTAAGAGACTAAAACATAAATTAAAAAAATCTGTTTTAAAACAAAGTACAAATAAATACGAGCAAAGTGGGCAGACTCTGGTCAAATAGAAAGATCTTTCCTCTAATCTGTGACATGTTTTTTAAAAATCCGGAGGGTCTCTGATAAAGTGTTGTCATCTTCATCCTGATCTAAAAAATATTTCTGTTATAGTTATAGTCAATTAGACAAGAGTCTGAGGAATGTCTTACTGACCTTCAGTTGTTCACCCATCTTTGTTCCGTTTGACCTCAAGCAAAATAGATAACGATGATGTGATGTTTCAAATTTGGTAATTCCTGTTTTGACCTTGTGTTGACTGAACTAAATACATTATTTGACATTTGCTGCACAGTAATATGACAAATTGTCTTTCTGTCAATTTAAACTAGATTATACTGAAGGAGTGACTGTAAGGAATTGCTGTTGTGCTTCGTCCCTCTACACAGTCTTATCTAAAAGAGACATTGTGATGTATCCAGAGGCTTTGTCTCATTGTCTGGAAGTGGATGTTTCACCACTGGTGGCCACAATTTCCTGACGTTGGGCATGTGACTGATGGGAAGTTAATAATAGCCTCCTACCAGATGTGTGTTAGTGTTGCTCAACATTAAGCGATCATTTGACGTCACAGAGGAGTGCCACACCCCGTAGGATCCAGTATTCTGGAGGAAGTGAAGTCTTCAGGTCTACAGCTGCGATGTAATTCATGTCGGTCCTCACCGGCTTCTTGTAGATTGGACAGGAGTAGAGACGGGAATCCTTCACACCTGCAACAAACAAAGTTGTCAATTGATGCACACTAAAAACTGATAGAAAACAACAGCTGGCAAAATTGTCTCATAATCAAGATCATAATTAAACATCTTTATACCTCAAATTATTTCAAGTAAAATCGGTCTTGAGATGCCGCTGGGACACGCAGCTGTGTTTTTATGAAGTCTGCTCAGATCAGGCAAATAACTCTGATTAGCAAAACATGTGGTTATTTATCACTGCTCCCACAGCACCACTTTACTGTTCCTTGGTTTTTAGGTTCTTAGGTTTTAGTCAGCTTGGTAGCTGGTTAGCTGTTAGCCTGTCAGTGACAACATGCCTGAGTGCTACTCGACTTCAACAACCCTCCATCAGCACCAAAACCAACAATCCTCACGAGCAGACAGGCAGCCCTTGTCTAGTCATATACATAGGGATGAGACTAATCTCTTTGAAGGGAGTCACAATTAGGTGGAGGGGTTTTCTAGACTCTCACATCTACCTATACATATCACACATATCCATAGATACTACCACTTGTCTACAGCAGCATCCCTCACACACTCAAACCCAGCAGGCAGCCTTCTTGTGGGAAAAGCTGGGAGGGGACATGGTGTAAACAAACCGCATTACGCGTATCATTGGATCATTAATTCATTTCCCAGGCAGTCTTGCTTGCAGGCGTCCACTGGGGCCCGTCTCTCCGCTGCCTGCCTGAATATAGTCTTGTCTTATCCAGAACAAACACTGTGCCACATAGTGCTGGTAATCTATTCCCAGACAGAATAAATGGCACTTAGTCTGCTTGACATTTAAATGTTACCTCCATCCATTCGGAGTGACTGTGTGGGATGCAAATGTTGAGGAGCACAGAATATTGAGACTGAGCCAACAGAGTACAAAGATTGATCCTGATAAAACGAGATTGAAACGTTTGCATTGTCAGATTAGTTTTCAATTCAGACAAGTCATCAAAATCCACTTGGTTGGGGTTTTTTGAGTGTGTAAATGACAAGAAACCTCAGAATGCTCCCCTCCCTCCATCTATCGCAAACAGGAAATCTCACCATTATTCTCAGCGTACATCCTGATCACAGGCATCATCTCGAAGAGGACTTTGGGCTTGGAGTCGATGAGTTTGCAGCTGCGGCGGTCCCAGCCGGCTCCCTCCAGGTAGAGGCCGTAGACATACACTCCCTCTGCGGGGGGCTGGGTTATGTCGTCCTTCATCCACCGGGTCACGTCGTTACACAGCACCATTCGGTCCAGGGCCCAGCCCTTGTTGGCCCGCGTGATCTCCTACAAGTGTGGGGACAAATCCACAGGTTAAGGCTGAGACGTGGGCGGTATGACAGAGCTGACCATTTGGCAATTGTTTCCCCACAAAAAAAAAATCAATTTTGATAATAGGGCTGTAATAGAGGTACAATAAAAAAACAGTGTGTAGGGCAGAGAAGTGCACTCTATCGCTGGCGTTGTTTTATGAGATACAGTGCCAACAGAAAGAAAATAAATGCAATATGACTCAGAAAGAGCGAGAGCAGAGTGCACAATAAATAAATGAAATGTGAGTATTGTATCCCCTAGTCTTTTTATCCTCATTTTGAAAGAGAAAAAAAACCTTAGTGGGCTAAATTGAACAGATTGAGACTGATAACAAATGACAAGGACGGACATAAAGACAACTATAAAGACTAGCCAGGAACATCAGGCACATGTTACACACAGAACCAGCAGAACCAGAGCACTCTGCTAACAGTTTGTGATGCCACTGGTCCAAGAAAAGCTGCAGCGTCTCTCCTTAAAAGGCAATATACACACACTCGGTGAGAGAAAATGATGGCTATATTTTGGAGCTAATATAGTAATCTAACACATCCCTGCTCAGTAAAATACAGACATCTGCATCAACAACATTTTCTCTGTCTTTAAGCATGCAGCCGTTTTCTACAGAGTGGAATAAATAAAACTAGAAGGCAGTCAGATGTGCAAACCTGACATCAATGCTAAATGGTTTCCTATTTCTACTACTACTTAAATTGCAAAGTAAATTGATTTGTTGGCCCTGAAAATATATCTCAGCCTTCAGGGCTCATTTTCATCATTGCTTTATATGATAACCAGACATCAGATCTGGATCAAGACCACATTCAGTTGAAAAGATTCAATGACTAGCAAAGGCCACGGTAATAGATGAGAAGAAGACAGATTTAAGGCGCTGACGAATACTGGAAAAATTGTCATTTTTGCTTTTTTCACACCAAAACCACCCCAAGATTTAAAAAAAAAAAAAAGGAAGCAGGTTTAACTGGTTCACCGGAGTTTTAAAAGCTGTCATATTTCCTGATAAATAATTCCCTGTTCAGTGCAGTCAATAATGTCCTCTTGTAACAAGGACAGCTCAGAAAATGCTTCCACTGTAAAACCTAAATACATAAGATACTTCTCTGGATTTCATAATATAGACAGATAATTATAATAAAGCATAATGAGCCCTAACAAGAGGTATATATCATGAGAAATGTCTGTGTACTTGCTTCCCTGCCTGCCACTGTGTGTGTGTGTGTGTGCGCGCTTGATTGCGTGTGTGAATGTGGCTTTGTGCCTGCTTGTCCCTCTGCGTGCCATCTGGTCTCCTCCCCGACGGTGGCTACGTAGGTAGGTAGCCTGATGCTGTGTGTACCTGTCTCATGGCTGTCAGGAAGCCCTGCGGGTTGAAGAAGCCCGTCATCCAGAAGCAGTTGGGCCGCCCTTCAAAGATCCAAGCCTGGAACTGCCGGTTCCGCTCAAGCAGCTCTGTAAACCAGAACCCCAGGGTGCTGGAGGCCCACGATGCCTGAAAAACAAAGACAAACAACAACACCAACAAAACATTAACAATGAAACACAGAACGAACAGTCATCCAGATGGACCAGAGGGGAAGACAACAGGGAGACATGAAGAAATGGATTGTGAGTCACTGTGTGGCGGGAGAAAAAGAAAAATTCAGAACAATAGAATAAAAAAAGACCAGAATACAGCTAAACACAGTACAGTAGGGGCAAATGGGCCAAAAGCAAATTGCACTGCAGGTACAAATACTCTCAATCCCTGCCCGAAAGCCATTCTGGTCTGAATTATTCTAATGATTTGTGAGAGCACTGCTTGAATGCCAACGGAATGATTCCAATATAATATATGGGAAAAGCCATGCTCCTTTGTTGTTTTCTCTTGCTCCTGCTCTCCCTCTCTCAATATTAATATTCCAGAAATTTGGTCTACTAAGTTTGTTAGAAGAAAAGTTATTTTCATTCATCAGGGAAATGGATTTGTGTGATAGTGATACAATGTTAAAATAAAGTACATGAATAAAAGGTAAGGAGGTCAGTTTGGGCCAAACGGGACTGATGATGATGATGAGCTCCCTTTTAGCTGGCAAAACATATCTGATGCTTCCAGAAAAAAACAGGAAACTTCTGATTGGGTTTGATTTTTAAGGGCTAGGCCAAAATTGTTCAAACCGACTGGACCAGGAGATTTAGACTGCGGCACCATTCAGTCGCTGCGGGTCATAGGCTTGCTCCTTCAAAATGTTTCAAATCTGTTTTTGGATAAACTTTACCATCTGCCCTTTTGCACTACCATAAGTATTGTATATTTTATATTATTGTATATTTTATATTTTATTGTCTGTTGTGAAATTGAATGTTTAAATTTTAGTATTAGGAAATGTCTGTT